TTATACACTGCTTCTCAAATAGCTTGCCGAATATTTTTTAATACAATTGTTGGCCATATTTTGAATGTGGTTTTATTCGAACTTGAGACATGTTCCTCGACAAGTTTCAAAATATCTCAAGCGTTTGAGGAAATATTCACGGAAGGTTCCATCTGTTACAATGCAATAGTGGCATTGGTTTTTTAAACTAGCAACTTAGTTCATACCAATATCGCGAGTAAACTCTCTTAAGAATGAATGAATGAATGAATGAATGAATGAATAAATGTACAGGATTGCAGATGAACCGTCAGCTGAGTTGCGCATGTTGACTGCTGTTGAATGGTACCTCACTTCATTCCATGCTGCCAGACAGGTTGTTCGTTCGTTCCATTCGTTCATTCATTCATTTATCGTTTGTTTTTTCATTCACTCATTCTTTTATTCATTAATTCATTCATTCATTCATTAATGGAAAGGGTTCCATAGCAAAGAAACCATTCAACCCGATTCTCGGCGAGACTTTTCACTGTCTTTGGTCCGTTGCCAATGACTTCAGCGAAAAAGACCACAAAAAACAACAACATCAACAAATTTATAGTAATAATAGTGGTGCTAATAATGGTATTAACAGTGGTAGTAGTAGTAGTGGTGGTGGTGGTGGTGGTGGTGGTGGTTGTGGTGGTAACAGTAGTAGCTGTAGTAAGCCAATCAAACTATTCTATTGCGCCGAACAAGTTTCTCATCACCCACCTAGTAAGTTGTTGTTGTTGATGGTGACGATGTTGTTGTTGTTGATGATGATGATGATTATGATGATGATGATGGCGACGTTGTTAATCATGTTGGTGGACACATCATTCAACCAAGAACTACCACACCAACCAACCAACCAACCGACCGACCGACCAACCGACCGACCGACCGACCGAGAACTACCATACCAACCACATCCACACACACAACAACGTTTTTCAGTATCAGCATTCTACTTCGAGTGTCCAGACAAGGGCATAAGCATGGAGGCCTCGATTTGGACCAGGTCAAAGTTCATGGGCATGTCAGTCGGGGTCATGATGATCGGCAAGAGTCAGTTTATTCGTTGTTGTTTTTTTACCACTTGTTCGTTTGTTGTTGCTGCTGATAGCGTTAAAAGCTGAGTTCTATTGAATTTTAATGGAAATATTGCTTCGGAGGTTGAGTGCTACAAGAATCTAATAACAATCTACCGGCCTAATTTACGCCACGTTCCAAAAATTGAACTATAGCACCTATTCAGTATTACGTTATGTCAATATCCGGACAATTTTTATTATTTTTTTTTATTTTACAAATTTTATTAACCACAAAAAAATGGCTTGGAGACCATACAAGCTTATTAAGCTTTATAGGCCACCAACAAGAAAAACAGAAACAATTTAAAAAATTATCAAGCGCATATACGATAACATAATTTGTTCGTTCAACTGTTTGACACAAAAGCATAGCACACTGCACATAAATTAAACGTTCGTAAAACAAAATGATAATGAAATGAAACTAAAATTTAATCCTTGTAATGTTTTCTAAAATGTGTTAGATCATATAACAAATATATAATTCAAACTAAGGCCAATAAATAAATACTAACATATATTCATGACATGCATTCAAAAAATAACAGCAATATAATTAAAATGTTCAATCATATGATTTTGCCTGAACAAACATCAAATTGAATTCAAACTAAGTCCAAGAATAAATATCAACATACATTCAAGACATACATTCAAAAACCAACAGCAATAAACTCAAAAATGTTTAATCATATTATATCAGCATAATAAATTTGAAATAACAAAGATTATTTGGAAACGTATAATAATATTTTATTAGAAAAATCAGAAATGCTATTTAATAATTTGAACTCTGAAGGCAATCTATTCCAAAGTGAAACCCCGGAGGAGAAAACCGATAACTTATAAATTACTAATCTAGGGTAAGGTTGAACATAATCATTCATTCGTCTTAAAACACGTAACTTTTTATCAGGAGCTTTAAAATGAATGGAAAAATTAGGAGGCAATAAATTTTTATATAATTTAAACATAAATTTTAACAGACCAAAATTATATATTTGTTTAATTGTTAATAGATTAGCTTCTTGGTAAAAACTTGAGACATGGTCATACTTTTTCAAGAAAAAAAGACATCTAACTAAACTATTATAGGCCAATCTCAAAGAATTAAGATGGGTCGTGCAACTATTACCCCATAACATTACGCCATATGTTAAATACGGATAAATTAAACTGTAATATAATTTTTTAGTGACATCAAAACTAAGCTTGAACCTCAATTTATGAATGATACCAGTAATTTTAGAAATTTTATTTGATATGTGCATTATATGATTTAACCATGACAAATTGTCTGTAATTACAAAACCTAAAAATTTATTTGTATACACTCTTTCAATACTGTTATTATCAACTTTAATAGAAATCCCTAAATTATTAGTAACAATCTTAGAACCAAAAATCATATAGTTTGTTTTTTTATAATTTATATTTAATTCATTTGATTTAAACCAACTGCATATTTTTTCCATTTCAGTGTTAAATGTATTGACCACAGTATTAATGTCTTTCCCAGAACATAAAATAGTGGTATCATCAGCAAACAATATACTTTCAAATGATTTACTGACAGTGGATAAATCATTTATAAAAATTAAAAATAACAAAGGCCCCAAAACTGAACCTTGCGGGACACCAAATTTAATCAAAACATTCGATGACCGATGATTACCCAAAGCTACATATTGTTTACGATTTGATAGATAACTTTCAAACAATCTGTGTTGTACTCCACGAATACCAAGAGAATATAATTTCCTTAACAATAACGCATGATTGATAGAATCAAACGCTTTAGATCAGTGTCGGGCAACCTTTTTCGAGTTGCGGCGCACTAAGCTTAATTTCCTTTTTTTGCGGCGCACCTGTGGTTCTCACTATAAATTTCCTCGTAGGTAATTAAAATACAACAATAAATACTAGTAAAAATTTAAACATATATATCACATTTTATTAATTTTCAATATTAAATTAACATAGTCAATGCGAGCATTGCGATTGTTTTTGAGAGCATATCAAATCAATACGGGGATGTACTTGTGAAAGACAAACGCGCATCTCCTCATCTATCATTTGAAGTCTTTCGCGCTTCTTAGACTTCATTTCTGTGAGTGTTGAAAAACCTTGCTCACACAGGTAGGAACTTCCAAATGGCAACAATGATTCGATGGCCGCATTACTAAGTTTAGGAAATTTGGAGTTTAAGCACAACCAAAACTCAGATAGCTCCTTTTCAGTGAATAGTCTTTTGAAAACTAAATCGTTTTTTAAATCAATTAAGTTTTCTTGCATTTCTTCTTCCAGGTGTTGAATTTCACAGTGCATAAATGGGTTAACTACCCATTCCATCTTTTCAACGTCCAAGTTAGGAAAATATTTATCAAAAGAAGCGGATAGTAATATCAAAGTTTCTTCGACTTCTTTTTTGATAATAGATTTTGATGGATTCTCTTGAACCATCGGAAAAGATGCAAAATTTTTCTTTAGCAATGTTTAAATTCCATAAGCTGAGTTTTTCCTTAAACGCTTTCAACTTGGTGGAGATAGTGATAATGTTCTCCTGAGCACCTTGCAAATTTAAATTAAGGCTGTTTAATTTGTCGAAAATATCACCCAAAAATGAAACTCGTAACCACCAAACATCACTCATCATGAAAGGAAAATTAATCTCTTCGTTATCAATGAATGCCATTATTTCATTTTTCATTGAAATAAATCGATTTAAAACTTTGCCTTTCGACAACCATCTGACTTCAGTATGAAACAATAAATTTGTATAATCGGAATCCATTGCTTCACAAAATGTTAAAAAATTCTCGATCGAAGAGCATTTGATTTGATGTAATTGACTACTTTGACAACTTCATCTAGAGTTGTGACAAGGATGGGAGGAACCGACTTTGACACTAACATTTCTCTATGAACCATACAGTGAACAAATTTGATATTTGGATTTTTTTTTATGACATGTGCTATCAATCCCTTTCTTGAACCTTTCATAGCTGGAGCTCCATCCGTACAGACGCTAACACAATTTTCCCATCTCAAGTTATACTTCATAACATTTTCATCAACTAATTCAAAAATGTCCGCACCAGTCGTTCTTTGTTTTAATTCTTTACAAAAAAAGTAGTTATTCACAATTTTTCCTGTATCGACGAACCCCAAAAATGCCAGCAATTGAGCTTTATTACTAATATCTGTGGTTTCATCAAGCTGTATAGCCCATTTTGTTGATGAATCATTAAAAGATTTTTTTATTTGCAACTCAATATCTTCTGACATATCTTCAATTCTTCTCGCAATAGTTTTTGATGATAGTGGAATTTTCTTAACCTTCTCCATAGCATCATTCGTTAACATACATCCTGTCACAATTTTTAAAGCAGGCAAGATAATTTCCTCTGCTTCCGCGTGAGCTTTCTTCTTTCGAGCGATGAGTTGAGCTATCATGTAACTAGCTGTTTGAGCTTCATCTGAGGTGGTCATAAATTTCTTGAATTTTTTTGATTGCTTTTGAAAACTTGATCGTATATTTTCAAAGTAGCTTATTGGATTGTTCATCTGCTCCTGATGATTTGTCTCAATATGTCGAAGTAGTTTACTTGGCACCATTGTTTCGTTGCTGAGGGTTTTTAGGCAAATTAAGCAAAACGGCAGTGATGGATCATTAACAGATGGTATAAATCCATATTTGAGATAATCTTCAACGTATTTCCTCTTATTTCCAGTTGATTTTAATATTTTCTTATCTTCATTATTTTCGTTTTGATTTTGTTTATCACTGGCATCTTCTCTAATTAGAAATCTCACCATCTAGTTTTGAGAGAGTTTAGAAAACACACAAATATAATAAAAATATGTTTAAATTAAATAAAAATATGTTTAAATTAAATAAAGTTACCTTGAGTTAAAAGTGAGTGAGAACAGCAATACTTTGACGAAAACTTCGAATAAATTTTTTAAATAAATTTATAATTTTTTTTTGTTTTCTTTTTTTTAACAAGCTTTGTAGCTTTTTGTCTCTATTAATAGACAGCTGTGACAAAGATTGTAAATGAAGGTTAAGTTTTTGAAAAAAATATTCCGAAATATTCTGAATAAAAATTATAAAAAATATTTTTGAAACATTATTTTTAAATTTAACCAAAAGTCCAAAAGTTCTAAATACCTACAAAAATGTTCGCGGCACACCTAGATTCTTCGCGGCACACCAGTGTGCCTCGGCACACTGGTTGCCCGACACTGCTTTAGATAGATCTAAAAATAACCCAATAGTTATCGACTTATCTTCCATTTTACTAAAAATTCTCTCAACAAGATCTAACAACGCCAACTCAGTAGATCTACCTTTTCTAAATCCATATTGAGAATCATTGAAAAATTTGATATGTTTCAAATAATTATTTAAACGATTTGACATGATTTTTTCTAAGATTTTTGACAAAGATGGTAGAATTGTAATTGGTCGATAATTGGACAGCAGATTAGTGAAACCATTTTTATGCAAGGGAATAACTTTAGCAATCTTAAAAATTTAAGATATATATATATATATATATATATATATATATATATAGTATCAAAAACTCGGGATTTCCATCTGCCAATTATTCATTTTCATGCCTTGTAGATTGAGTACTATATGAATATGAATCTAGCAGCAAACTTTCAGCCTAATTCACAATATCATCGCCACATTGCAAAGAAGGGTTAGGGTTTAGTAACTGTGGTAACTATGGTAATACATAATGCAACTATTAGGCCGATCCAAGATGTAATATATCAAAAAGGTCGGTAATGGAAATCCATTACAAAGTTATACATGTTCATGCTCGCGCTCAATTGAATACTACATGAATCTTTAGCAAGTTTGGAAAAAGTGCTATGTATAAATACATATAATAATGATAACAACAACAATAATACATACATACATACATATACAAACACACACACAAACACACACACACACTACATACCAACATACAGTAAGATTAAAGCTGCATAAGAACAACGATGAGGAATATGAGTTCAGTCTGCCAAGCGTCTATGGAAGGAGCATCTTAACTACGCCATGGGTAGAACTTGGAGATAAGGTTATAGTAGTAGTATTTTTATTATTATTATTATTAGTAGTAGTAGTAGTAGTGGTACTAGTTTTTTGTTATTGTTAATGTTGTTTATTAGCAGAAGTAGATTTTTTGAGGTTCTTTGTGTATAAATCTTTGTTGATGAAATTTGTTAGAGATGGTTTTGCTACTGCTACTAATATAATATAACTATTGCTGCTTTTATTGCGTTTGGGAGAGATACAGGAACTGTGTGTTGGCTACGGCAGATAAAGTATGTGGATGGACGATAGGAAAGTGTAGGTATGGTGAGACGTGGTGGTGGGATGAAGATATAAGAAGGGTTTTGGAGGTCAAGAAGGAGAGGTTTAGGGTATGGAGAAGGGACATGACGGAGGAAGCGGAGTTTGAGTATAGGAAGGCTAAGAAGGCTGCAAAACAGGTAGTGGCAACTGCAATGACGAAAGCATCAGATAGGTTATTGAAGGAAATGGAATTTGATGTGAGTTCGAGGAAAATGTTCAAAGTAGCAAAGCAGTCAATTTGGGATAGGAAAGATGTTATAGGGAATGGATGTGTTTGTGATGGATCTGGCAAGTTGTGTATAGATGAGGAGGAAAAAGCTCAGGCGTGGAAAGCTCATATGGAAAGGTTGATGAATGAAGAGAATGAGTGGGATGGAGATGTGGAATCCGCGGTCACACACGGACCTGTAGAGAAGGTGACAATGGAGGAAGTAGAGAAAGCAGTTAGAGAAATGAAACTTGGTAAGGTGACAGGGGTTTCGGAAGTGGCGGCAGAACATATAAAAGCGAGTGGGGTGATAGGAATTGAAGTTATGATGAGAATTGCTAACAGTATGTTTGATGATGAAGGTATACCTGAGGATTGGCGACACAGTGTGTTGGTGCCGTTGTATAAGGGCAAAGGAGATGTGAGAGATTGTGGGTCATATAGGGGTGTGAAATTGCTAGAGCACGGAATGAAGGTAGTGGAGAGGGTGCTTGAGAGGAGGTTGAGAAATATGGTGACAGTTAATGAAATGCAGTGTGGGTTTATGCCTGGTAGGGGAACGGTGGATGCGTTGTTCATGGTGAGAATGTTGCAGGAGAATTATAGAAAGAAGAAACGAAGATTGTACATGTGTTTTGTGGATCTAGAAAAGGCTTTTGATCGAGTACCGAGGAAGGTCATTGAATGGGCGTTGAGGAAGAAAGGAATGAATGAGAGACTTGTTAAAGCTGTGATGCAGCTGTATGAAGGGGCAAATACAAAGGTGAGGGTTGGAAGGAGGATGTCGGACGCTTTTAGTGTTAAGGTAGGAGTGCATCAAGGATCAGTGTTATCACCGTTTCTGTTTGCAATTGTGATGGATGTTGTGTGTGGAAACATAATGGAGGGGTTGTTATTTGAGATTTTGTATGCAGATGATTTAGTCTTGATGGCTGATAGCATGGAAGAATTGCAGTTAAAATTTGACAGATGGAAAAGTGTTATTGAAAAGAAAGGGTTGAAAGTTAATATTGGTAAGACGAAGGTAATGGCGAGTGGGGAAGGTGGGGAGCGAGTGATAAGTAAAATAGACCCCTGTGGGGTATGTGATAGGAGAGTGAAGGCTAACTCAGTATTGTGTATAGGATGTCAGAAATGGGTGCATAAGAGATGTAGTGGTGTGAGGGGGGCACTGAAAAAGGTGGAAGGCACGTTCAAATGTAAGAAGTGTGTTCATGGTGTGATTAATAGGACGGACGCAAGGACGGGGTTGAGTGGTGGTATTGAAAGAGTGGAAAACTTTGTTTACTTAGGGGATAAGCTGAACGCGGATGGAGGATGTTTGAGCGCAGTTACGACTAGAGTTCGTGTAGGATGGATGAAATTTAGGGAACTGGGTGGGGTATTGTGTGGAAAGAAATGGTCAGTGAAGATGAAAGGGAGGGTATATAAAGCATGTTTGAGAGCAGCGATGGTACATGGTGGTGAAACTTGGGTGTTGAGGAGAGAGGAGGAAAGTGTACTGCAGACGGCTGAAAGAGCTGAGGATGATGTGTGGGGTTAAAGTGAAGGATAGGAGGAGTAGTACAGAGCTGATGTCAATGATGGGACTGAATGAGGACATTGTGACATTGATAAGGAGATCGAGATTGCGGTGGTATGGACATGTGTTGAAAAGGGATGAAAGGGTCGGGATTAGGCGAGCGTTGGAGTTCGAGGTTGAAGGAGTGGTAGGAAGGGGTCGTCCGCGATTGGGATGGAGAGAGCAGGTGGAGAAGGACAGGGTGAAAGCGGGGTTGCGTGATACTGAGGTGAGTGACAGATGTGGATGGCGTCGAGGGGTATTTCGGTTTCATCATAGGTAGCCAAACGGCAACCCCCGATCTCGGGGAAAATGTCGTCTAAACGTGTGTTGTTGTTGTTATTGCTGCTTTTATCATTCAATACTGCTGCTGCTGCTGCTGCTACTTCTGCTACTACTACTACTACTACTACTTTATCATCACCATCATCATCATGTTTGTCGTCTGCTTTATTGATGGTCAGGTGAACATAACATGCGAGAGAACAAAGTACACAGCTGGCATCGTCTTCCACACAAAAGTTTCTAACGTTTTATTTATTTATTTATTTATTCATTTGTTCTTCCATTCTTCCAGTCATTTATTCATTCATTCATTAACTGATCCATTCATCCATTCATCAATCCATGCAGCCGTTCTACGGCGGCAAACTGCACAAGATAACAGCTGAGGTTAAAAATCCAGCCGGCGAGTTCATCTGCCACGTGACCGGCGAATGGAATGGCGTCATGGAATTCAATTATGCTAATGTATGCAAATTTATTCAAATTATGTTAATTAGACTGCTGGCTTGCATTTTAATGTTTGTTCACATGCACACACGCACCCACCCACGGACCAGGGCCAAACGAAATTGATAGACACTGGCAAACTGGAGATCAAGCACAAATGCGTTCGCAAAGTTTCGGACCAGGACGACAATGAATCTAGGAGACTGTGGTCGAAAGTTATTGGCTGCCTAAAATCTGGAGACATGAATGGGGCCACTGAATTCAAACATTCGGTAGGTGCCGTTTTTCGTCCGCTTGATTTGTTTCTATTTTGTAACTTAAATCGTTCGTTTGTTTGTCAGATGACTTTACGTATGTACGTGTATGTTAGTTGGCGGTAGGTTGGTGCCAAAATAATGCCGATTTTACTTTACTTAATTTTTCGAGCCCAAAACACTTTCCAAAAGTGAAATTGCACAAGAAGAAGCTAATTGAGACTGCTCGGTGGTCGATCTGCAGCTGCTGAATTATTTCTGATCTGCAGCTGCTGAATTATTTCTGATCTGCAGGCGCTGAATTATTTCTGATCTGCAGGCGCTGAATTATTTCATCACACTTTGTAAAAACGTCGTTAAGCAATTAGTGGAAAGATGAACAAATTGATGAGATGCATCAATAATTAAGTCAACTGCCGGGAGAAAACCTTCCCGCGATAACGTGTTTGCGTGTTGCGAGTGCGTGCGTGTGCGTGTGTGTGTGTGCGTGTGTGTGTGCGTGTATGAGAGAGAGAGAAAGAGAAAGAGAGAGGCGTACTTTTTTTTACGTGTGTTGTTTGTTCACTCTTGTATTAATACTTATTTTGATTTTCAAAGTTGGAAGAAGAGCAGAGAAGGTTGGAAAAGATGAGGAAGGAGCAGAACATTCCCATACAACTAAAAGTAAACTTTCTATTTATCAATTCATTTATTTTATTTATTTATTTTCATTTATTTCATTTTTCAAAAGTGAATTTCCATTCTAATCAAAATTTTTTCTTTCAAAATTGACAAGTACTTTGAACCAAGCCAGCAGCAAGAGTCATGGAAGTTTAAATATCCAATGAAATTAAAGTTCGGCAACATCGATACCGACACAACAACAGCAACAACATCATCATCATCAACAACAATTTTTCATACTACTACTACTACTAATGCCAGTGGGGCTTCTTGCTTATCAAATACCTCTGTTAATGCAACAGCAGTCACAAGTTCTCACTTCAACTCTTACTCTACCAACAACACAACAACAACTACTACTACTACTACTGCTGGTACTACAGCTTCTACTAAAACTACTATTTTTAGTTTAAGTGATAATACTGTCGCTTCTAGCAGTAATAATTCTACTACTACTACCGCTGCTGCTGCTGCTACTAATACAACACCTAGATACTTATCAGCGTTCCTGTAGAAGCTTACTTTTTGTCCGTGATGACGATGATGCCGATGGTGAAGGTGGTGATATGATGGTGAGTATGATGACTACGATGTAGATAATGAGGATGGTAGCATAGAATTCCCGGGTTTGAATACTCACGCATACTCCGATATATTGATTTATGCATACTATATATATATATATATATATATATATATATACATATATATATATATATATATATATAAATTCATTTAGTTGAAATATTTTTGCTGTCAAAAATGACCACGAATAATATATAGAGATAAAATGTGCATGCGATTTTCTAATATTTATGAAGAGTTATATTTTTTTTGTTTAAAAAGTGAATGGCTAATATCATTTCAATTTAGATGGTTTTTTGCATGGATATGTATTTATATCTATCCATGCTCTTTTTTATTCCTCTCCTCTCACTTTTTTCTCTATCTCTCCTTCTCTCCCTGTCAATGCTACCTACTTCCCATATTATAGATCATTCGTTCGTTCGCTTGTTATCCGTCACACATGTACAAATGCTTTTGCGTGTATTAAAATTACAATATTAAATAAATCATTTTTTTTTGTACGATGTAAGTATATGTATATATTTAATTATGGAAAGAAATGTATGGTATGGCGTTATATCTATGCATATTATATATATATATATATAATATGGGTATATATGATTATATGATATATGCATGTATGTATTTATAATTCATGTAGATCTTTTAAGAGTAAAAAATTAGACCTTTAATAAGTTGTTTAGTTTTGTTGTGTGTGTAAATTTATAGTTTTTTCCTCTCTGATTTTCCTACGTTTGAGTTTATTTAACCTTTAATTATTAATTTTAAAATAAAGAATAATACGGATGAAATTTTTCTTGTTTCTAATTATTTATTTAGTTTTTTTTTTTAAATTAATTTTGGAATTTTGGGGGTAATGAACGATAGAATTCTCCTTTGATTGCATAACTTATTTTAGTGATTTTCATGATTTAAATGTTTATTTGCCAGCACTTTCTTTGTCTTACTCTTTTTTTTTTAATACAAACCGACCCCCATTGCACAGACCATCTTACTGGGTAATATTATATAGCGCCCTTTCACAAAATCTCAAAGGCTCTGAAACAAAAATCACAAGAGATAACAACATGGATATATATATATATCCATAGATATATATCAGTGATGACGTAAGTACTCAAAAAATGTACTTAAGTATAAGTACTAAGTACTCAGTAATAAAAGTACTTAAGTATAAGTACTAAGTATCAAAACAAATTGTATACTTGATACTTATAAGTACTAAGTATAAGTACTAAGTACCTAAGTACATACCATGGTTAATTTGAAATATTTATAAATTTATTAAACTCAGAAATCAACTCATTATTTACAGTAATTTATTTACATCAATAAAAGAGTTTGTTCTTTTTGAGTAAAAGTAAAGTTTCAAATGATTTATCACTTAAACGATTTCTTTTAGGAGTGAGAATCATTCCAGCCTGGCGGCTAAATATACGTTCCACAGGTGCTGATGATGGCACAGTGGCATTGTACTTCAAAAACACTTGTGCGACAGCAGGATACCTAAGGAACAATAATATAGTTGTTAACCGAAATAGCAAATTATTAATTTGTTATTAATACTTGAGAATAAAAATGTATTAGAAAATCAAGCATATACATATTATACATATATAATATATTACAGAAAAATATTGATTACCTTTTGAGTTGTTCCATATCATTATGAAGGATCACTAAGATATTGCAGTCCTTCAACTTTTTCATTCGATCGTGATTCGGAACTTGGTTCGTGGAAACAATAAAAATCTGCACTAGTACAACCTCTAGTATTTCTGTCTTCATAAACTGTTGAAGAATTGCTCATTCTGACCACTTCTGCTAGAAACAAGTCTTCAACTTGCTCACGAACTGATGATTCTATCCACCTGATTTTAAAAAAACGGATGGCTGATCGAAGCCACAACAAATGCTCTCATCTTGCTGTTGCTTGAAATATCTTTAAAGTCAATTATATCGCCAAAGCGTTTATCCATGCCACATTGAAGAGCAGAAACAAGAGCTGAAGTGTACGATGGAGTAAAAGATTGCAGTTTTCGCTGTATAACAAATATAGTTGGTAAGACAGCACCAAAATAAGACTCCATTGAAACCTCACCTTGGAGCTTGTCCAATGCTAGTGAAATTGGTCTCATCAGTTCCAACCACTCATTAAGAAAACTCAAATCTATATTGCTGAACTTCGGCAGCTGCAAACGTTCCATCACAACATTTACTTTATCGCGAAGACTATATATAATGCTATAACAGTCAAATTCAGAATTCCAGCGTGTCCCATTCGGTTTGGGTATTGTTCTGCCTAAGATTTCATGCACAATTTCAGCAGCTTTTGAACTCTGGTGTGATGCGGTGCTGAGAGAGACACACTTACTGGATACTGATCTATATATTCTTTTGTAGTTTGAATCATTATTCAAAGCTTTACTTGCATCAGTTGTAGCAAGCAAGTTTAGAGTGTGTGAAAAGCAAGATACATGAGAAGAAGATAAATTCCAGAGCTGTCATCTATATTACTTACCAAAAACTTATCACCAATCTCGACTGGAGTCATTTCTGTATCATCATCATCATCAACATCTATGATATAGATATATAGATGTCAGAGTGATGTGAGTTAACCACCTTTTAATGACTCAATTAGCCAATGGTTATCTTAACATCCCGCTATCCATGACTAAACAAGAACAAATGTTGATAAGAGAGATAAACAAGAATGTCAATGTGAAAATGTGTGTGTGTGTTTTCATCACAGTTTTCAATTTTTAAATGTTGACATTATCTTATTTTTGCTTAAAATTTTTCTGGTACTTACAGGAAAAATTTATTACTTATAAGTACAAGTACTGAAAAATGTACTTAAGTATAAGTATTTAAGTACAGGTTTTCATATGTACTTAAGTATAAGTATCTAAGTACTACATTTGTACTTAAGTACGTACTTAAGTACAAATGTACTTAAGTACTCGTCATCACTGATATATATATCAGTGGGTACCAATGAGACATTGAACAATCGTTGTGTAAAGAGGAACGTTTTCAGTTCTTTCCCGTAAAATGAAGTTGAAGGAGTGCCCAGTTCCAAGGCTAGTCATTCCTTACAGATGGCCCAACAACCGAAAACAGATCCGTACAATGTTCGTTCGTTCAGATTTTTATGGCGTTTTAACAGGTTTTTACGCTATTGGGAGAAACTTTTATTTAATTATTTATTCATTTTATATATATCTTTATAATGTACATTGAAGGTAGTAGGGCTGACTTCATTATTATTACTATATACTTTATTATATATAGTAATAATTATTTTTATTACTGTTTAGGCAATGATAATACTATTTTTATTAATGATAATATTAGTATTTCACTTGTGATTGCCTACTGATTTATCTCAGCCATTAATTTGGCACGTAATGCAAATTTTTATTATCATTAACGTTTTTGATATTTAATTATTATAATTAATATTATTAATTGTAATAAATATTGTGGTCCCTCTGTCGAAAGCCCTCTTGAGAATGAGAGTGGGACAGTGAAAATGTTCAAACGCGTGATACATTGCATGAAAATAGGCATTTTAAATATAAAAAGCGATTCTGTAATTTAGAAAAAAGTACAATTTTGCGATACATTACATCAAAAAAAAATTGATTAATTATTGGGACATCTCCGATTCTTGCGCTATCGAGAGTGTAGCTTCTATAGAGCTATCGCGATTTGTCGGCGTTTTCAAACATTTGGAGGGCCGGCTGTCGATGTTTTATTTTTTCTCCGGACGAGAAGCATTAGTTTTTCATTTAAAGAGAAGATTTTTACAAGATATTTTACTCGAAATCAAGAACGTTTTTTTAAATTTTATTGTTTTCATACGTTTTATTTAATAAATTGGCCATTTAGATTGTGAAAAGTTGCGAGATGTTTGCCGAATTAAATTTTCTTTCAGGCTGTTCGGCTTATTATACTTTATGACTGCCTGGTTGAGCACTAAAATTAGTTTTGAAAGGTTGAAAGCAGTTTATTAACTTAATTAACTTATGTTCTTTAAATAATAAATGAACATGTTCATTAAGAAAAATTATTTATTAAATGTTTATCTTTATGTAGTTAAAATTGTTTTGTAAAATATTTATGTAATTTACTGAGTTGAGACTTGAGTTGTTGTTTTTATAAGAATTTTTTTTTATAAAAGTTTATTTATGTAATTACCTGAGTTGATAGCTTATTAACTTTTAAGTTCTTTAAATAATTGAACATGTTCATTATGGGAAATTTTTTATAAAAAATTTATGTAATTAACTGAGTTAAAAGCAGTTTTTTATTAACTTATTGAAATTTGAACATGTTGTTTATTGAGAAACATTTTTTATAAATTTACTAAGTTGAGAGTTGTTCATTAAAGAACAGTTTTTGTAAAATCCTCACGCAATTAGCAAAGTTAAGAGCTTATTTTATTAACAATGTTTTTTAAATCGTTGAACATGTTGTTCTTTAAGAAACATTTTTTATAAAATGTTATT